AGATATGCAACAATGATGCTGTTACTGAGTTAGAACAGACACATCCCTTGCTTTGTCAATGTATTTATTTTCTGGAGTCTCCAGTGAATGTTCAGCTATGAAATAAGTAAATTATTTTCTTTATTAACGGCTTCCATCCTGTCCCTCATTACCACACAACTGTGTTCCAACTACATTTCATTTTTCATAATTGGCTTTGAGGCCTGGTTGGTCTGCTAGGCTGGGTCTTTCTGTGTGTTGTGGATGTTTGCTCTACAAACAAAATCTAGGTCTTCAGCAACACTTGCCACTTACCCATGCCAATATGTGTTATCCGCTTCACTACCCTGTCTGTAGCAACGCCAAGCAGCAACATCGAGAGAACACAGGCTTTTCACATCAGCAGTCACTTTGTACTGCTTGCTTTTTGTGATCAGTGGAATTCATGTAGCGGGGCAGATTTTGACCATTAACAACAGCTGAGTAAAGGGATTAAACGAATTATGTTTACCCTACAATGCATAATGCTCATCTTCTGAGTTTTCTGTTATTTTGGTGGTGTTTTTTTTTTCCCCCTCGCATGTAATACACACAGCTCTACAACTTCCATTGCTGTGAAAGATGCAGAAGCCATTAAAGTGTGCCTTTTTGTCCAGAGATAAAAGCAAGCTTCTTTTCTTGAACAATTTGATCTGCCAGTCAACATCTCCTTTGACAGAAGTGACTTGTACTAACTTGAGGTCCATCCTCAAGGGAGGGTAGCAGTAACCCAAAAGAATCTTAGCAATTCAAAAGCTGCGCTCACAGCAAAGAGGGCAGCAGTAGTGACTGCAGTATTGGAATCTTAATAATTTAACAACCCCACAATTAAGTTTATCAGCTTATAATCATCATGTAAAAACTGTCAGAGTGGGATTGTTGCATTTGTCCTTCCTGTCAGCACCACAGCTGGGCAATAAGAAAAGTCACGCCTTCAAACCACAGCAATGTAACCTGTCTCTTGTTTGGGGCATTATCTGATGCGTCAAAATGCAAGGCGGGAAGGAATCTGGCACTGTTCTACTGCCACAAAGGCAAAGCAGAATCACACATTTGGAAATGACATTCCTTGATCAGCAATCAATAGCAACACCTTTTCCTGTGAGGCTTGAGTACCTTTCCCATCCCATACTTTGTGTATGTGTGTAGATTGTGTAACCCTGAGACACTGAATGCAAGTTGTGCTGTTGCACATACGAAGACTCATGCCAATAGACAGAAAAGACTGTTACAGAATCACAGAATCACTGAATCAGACAGGGTTGGAAAACACCTCTGGAGATCATTTAATACAACCCCATGCAGAGGATTGGTAACACAGGTTTATCACAGAAAAGTTTCAAGTACAATGAACCTCTTTTCTTAGTGTGCGTTTTCTATGCTGCAGCATATTCTCTAATAATTGTGAAAGATATTCTCATTGACTTTTGAGCCTTGCTGAACACCAGCAGACATGAAAGCAGATTTGTCAGCAGACTCTGGCACGTCTATGAACAAAAAAGAAGAGATACACTTCCCTACCAGAGAGCAAAAGCTTATTCCCTCCTAAGATCCCCATCTATAAGAATAATTTGTGGAAGGAGAGAGATACTCTTTCAGAACCAGCTTTAAACCACTCAGGATTTTAAACCACTCAATAAAATCCACAATGGTGAAGCTTAGTAATTAAGTTTAAAATAACTAAAAATTAACACTATTTACAATATTAAACCAGGAATAAGTTATGTGGTTTTATTACTACTGTGTTTACTTACTTCAGCCATTACTTGGAATTTTTTAAAATTTGTTTCTTCTTCAAAACCTTCAAGATGGAGAAATACTTCCATGCAACAAAGGTAATGTGTGTATTTATCCTTATGCCTTTCTTTCTTTTAACATTGAATAATTTATGGTTTGAAATTAATGTTATTTTCTCATTTATTTTATTTTATTGCTAATGACTATGTTGCCAGAGTAACACGGAGTCTTTGCAGGACAAATATTATAAAGGGAAAGTTAAATTAATATTGTCTCGATAAAGCTAAGAAGCCAACTTGAACAAGCAGCCTTTTTGAGTTCTCATCTGTACAGACAGCTCCAGTATGATGTTCAAAATTTGCTGTTTACATTCAGCTATATTGCTGCAATCTTTATTTCTGTTAAACAGTATTTTGGTTGCATCAGCGCGTTCAAGAAATTTGGCAAATTGAATGCAACAACAGAGTGCTCTTATCAATTCAGTCTCTAGATAAAATATAACTACAAACTTGGAAGAGTGAAAAGATGCTAGAAGAGAATACTTGAAACTGTATTAATGATATTAGTCTGGTGCAAGTGCAGTAGAATACATCCAAAAATGAGCAGCCCAAGGAAAATGGCCACCTGTCATGCTGTAGATGGAATGGCATTTGGCAATCTGGATGCTTCATTACTGTCACTATGAAATTATCTGCACCCTTCTACTCCTTAGGCCATGTAAACCACATAAAAAAAGAGCATACACCAAAAATGATATTAAATTTTATTTTCTATGTGTTTTAAGGAAAAGGAACATCACATTTTAAGCCAATGTCACTCTTAGGCTATTTACTTTCCTAAAATTATGTGCCAGAGAAGAAGGAAAGTTTGTTATACGGCTGCAGATTTTTCCAGAAACAAATGGCCTAAAACCAGCATCAGAAGAAACATCGGAGTGAACAAACCTCTCTGGGGGGAACACTACTAACTGGGCTTCTCAAGAGTTATGTCTGAGGCTGTCTGAGGAAAGATGCAGAAGGGTGAAAGTCAGTTGCTGTCTCTGTTACAATTTTTCTGACTTTTCTAATCTATGTAAAATTCACTACAGGCATTTCCATTGGTTTTAGCAACACTGGGAACCTTACTGAAAATAAGACTGTTAGAGGCACAGCTGCTTTTTTTTTTTTTGTGTTGTGCCAGTTAAACTTGCTCAGGCCAATGGCATTAAATACTGGCAGCCAGATTGTTGCTAGCAGTAATAAACAGCAAATGGGAGAGTAGAAATTCAGGTAGCATTAAAAGCTGCACAGACCAAGTGTCTCCCATTGTGTCTGTAAATTAAACCCTTAGGGATAGTTGCTCCTAGCTTTTTTTGTTTTGTTTTGCTTTGTTTGTTTGTTTCTGAAAGCATCAGAAGCTGCTGTATTATTTTCTCATGGAACTGAAGAATGTTTGGCTGTCTTTCCCTCATGTTAAAGCCCCTGAAGAATAAGGCAGAGAAGATGATAAATACAGCTTTGGAGATTGTTGTGCATATAAAAACTGTCCAGAAGTACAATCCTAAACCAGGCTGTGCTGTGATAACTGTAACATCTGCTATATCAAAGAAAGAACCACACTGATGGATTCTCTTGAAAAAGAAAAGTGGTACTCCGTCCCCTCTTTAAAAGAGTCAAAGGCTTTATTAAAAAAAATATCTGTTTTTGAATATAGATGGAGTCATACTGAAAAATCTTTAGTTAGATTTATTGAAATTATTTGCTATAATGAAACATGAAGATTACAACATCAAGTAATATTCCTAGTAAATACCAGAATTAAAACTGCTTGTGCAGATGCATTATAACTCACTCTTTAATTATGGGTCTTCTTGACTGTGTGTGGAATGAACAATGCTGAATTAAGCATACATATCAAATTCTACTTACACCCTGGTCATTGCTGGTGGCCTGTTGCTCTTGCGTGCTCACATTAATTTCCTTTAATAGCACTCCCATTTCTGAAGCATCAAACTGGACTTGATTCCTCCACTTTAAATATTATGAAATACTTACAGTATGAATATGGAAGTATTTATGGCACATTGCCTGTTGACTTCATTTCCAGTAGTAAGCTGTTATAATTGAGAACCTGGTGTGCTAAAAGTGTCACTGTGAAGGCATATCCCTCCACTTCCTCAAAAAACGTGGCTCAAGTGATGCATGGCGCATAGCACTACGCAGAAACTTTTGACAAAGAATGTTTAGAAATCTAAGGATTTTTTTTCCCTAGAATTCTCTAAAGAACACTCAGAGCCTCAGTCATAATACTTCTCTTTCTCTTCTTTTTATCTTTTTATTCCAGTTTTCTCTATCATGACACAGAGGTTACCCAGAAAACTGCTTACTTTACTGCACAGCTTGCTGCAAACCAGAAAATCTACTCTGTGTTCTTAGGGAGGTGAAGTGAGAAGCTTTTGGTTAACTTCAGGTCATAATAGGATGAATGGGAATGGCCTTAGATTGCATCAGGGGAAGTTCAGGTTGGGAATTAGGAAAAAATTCATCTCTGAAATAGAAGCATGGCATTGGAAGTGGCTGCTCAGGGAGGTGGTGGAATCCCTGGAGTTCAAGACAGGTGTGGATGTGGCTTTTGAGTTAGTGGGCATGGTGGCGATGGGCAGATGGTTGGACGAGGCGATCTTAGAGGTCTTTTCCAACTGCAATGATTCTGTGATTTTGTGACAACGCATAAAAATGATGAAGCTGTACAGGCAGCAGACACTGCGTTCTGGGCTTTGTAAATTCAGTGTGACTGTGTGGTGCAAATAATTTTCTTAACGAGCAAAACAAAAAAGACCAAAGTTAGGAGAGGCCTTGTCTACTTCACAGATTTTATACACCTGTTACTGCTATGTTTCTCTCAGCCTCTTCTTTCTTGTACACACATGCACCAAGCGCAGGCCTGACCATTACCTCTCTGCCCAAAGCTTAACTCGCCTTTCCTATGCTGGGAGAAAGCTGGAACGGAAAGATTAACACAGGCAATCAAACAACCACCGACCGCACAAGGCCGGGCAGCGAGTACCAAACCCCCCCCAACCCAGACATGCAACAGCCGTTGGCGGCAGCGCAGGACGGGCCGTAGCGGAGCACCCGTTCTGATGATCGACGGGCGCTTCAGCCAATGGCGGCGGGGTGAGGGGCGCGGGGCGGGGCCCGACTCGGGGGCGGGGCCGAGGGGTTGGAAGGAGGCGGGGCGCGGGGACGGGCGGGGCGCGGATTGGCCGGGGGGCGGGGCCGGCGGGGGTTTCTCCCGGGCTGGGCTGACGGCTGCGGTTGGGAACTTGGATTTCGTACGTGAGCGGCGGGCGCGCGGCGGCCGTTTGGCCGACAGGTACCGGTGGGGAGCCGCTGTGGGTCGACGCCTTCAGCTGGCGGTGGGGAGCGGAGCCGGGGGGGGATGGAGACGGGGGGAACGCGGAGCGGTCGCGGCGGCGTGTGCGGGCTGTGGACGCGGCCGGGGGCCGCCGAGCCCCGGACCCGCCGGCGCTCTCTCCCCGCTCCCTCCCGTCGCGGGACGCGGAGGCCGCGGGCGGGGCCGGGCCGGCTGCTCGCCTCGGGGGCAGCGCTGCCTGTTTCCTCTCTCCTCGCTTCGCTCTCGGCGCCGGGCGTCGGCTGGGAGGCGGGAGGTCGGGGGCTGTCAGAGCGGGGCCCGGCAGGGGTGGAGCGGGGGCGGCAGGGGGCGGCAGCGGCTCCGAGGAAGCGTGTCCGGCGCGGCGGCTGCGGCCCGGGGCTCGCTGAGCCCCCCGGCCCCTGTGGCGGCCGCTCGGAGGCCGTTAACGCTCTTTCGGAGATTGGTTTCGAATCTCCCTCGCGGCGCCGCCACTGCCTTCGGCCTCCCTGCCGGGTCCTGGCAGCCCGTCCCATCGCCGGCGGCCGGCTGGGGCTGGCCGTGCTGCCCTCCCGGCCCAGGCTGCGAGGCGGGGAAGGGGATCGGGTGTCGTCCCCAGATGTGTCCTCATCTCCATTAGTTGAGCTTCCACCCAGCGAGGGCTGCACGTAATGCGGGCATCTGGTGTGGATACGGAAGGGTAGGTGTGTGTGACTAGAACGGGCTGAGGAGCCGGTGTTCTGCAAGTGACTGCTGAGACGTAAAGGAGGTCTGTAAAAGGAGGTGGTTTGAGATTTTGGTCATCTTAATGATTATGATTTCTAGAAAGAGCTTCTGAAATAAAACCGTTGGTTGGGAATAAGCGACAGCTAGCCAGTGAATAAACCGGTGTTGAGGTGCTTTGATAATAGGAATGGCTAGTAAACAGGGCGCTTAAGATGGCTTTGCTTCTTGTAAAGCTGCCCAAGACCCGTTCTTAATTAAAAACATATCACTTATAGCTCTTTCATTGACATGTAGTGCTTTACTTAGCTTTACTGCCTCATTTTCTTGTCTGCTAGCATGTGCGCTACCAGAGCATTAGTAATGCTATACGCCCATAGCTCTACAGAACAGCCTTCAGGAAATTCTTGCAGGCTTGTATATTTCTAGACCTGGAGAGTTTGAAATGATGTATTTCTGTAATAGGAAATACTCAAAAAGCACAGCTGCATCCTTTGGCGCGAAGTTTTAAAGTTTTGAGTAGGAAATGAACTCTGTCCTTAAACTCCAGAGCCAACCTGTTGCTGGGCAGACCCTCCTTTGTGCCATCCTGTGTTACATGGAAGGGTATTCCGCAGAAGTGTTCTGCTTCAGCTGCTGCTCTCCTTCTTCCAACATTTCCATTTCTGCTTACTGTGCTGTTTTCTCTATGGTGAGAAGTTGAGCTGCTCTTTTGCATGAATTACAGCTTTCTGCTGAGTTGAGTTCCCTTTGAGCTTAGAATAGGCCTTTCCTTCCTGGTTTTCAGAGGCTGTGGATCTCAGAACTTGTATTGACAGCTTGTACTCGTGGCAGAGGATTTTGCACTGTAATAATGCATCTTGGATCTATGATAATGATCTAGACAGGACTTGCAGAAGTACATATCCCATGTGTGCATTTTGAAGTCAGAAAAGAGGGAGAGTTTAGACTTAACAGCTAGGGCTGCACAGTGTAGACTTACAAGTTTCATTTCTTCAGAAATATACTTCTTGTTCCACCTCTGATTTGGTAAGTCCTCAGCAATTGCAGTTAATCCATAAGAAATATAATTCTTATTATCACTTCTTGTTATGGCTTCAATGGTAGGAGCAAATAATGGTTTTTCTCTGAAACCAGTCTGACCTGTCGGTGTCTTACTGGGATTTCAGTGGCAATACTGTAGGCTTAAATCACTCTCATTTGGGGATGCAACCTGAAGAATAACTTCATTTATTAATATATAACTTCATAGTATTAATTACTACATTCAGTATGATTTGACTCATTTAGTGAGTATGGATATAGGTAAAAATGTCCATTTTTTTAAAATGTGGCCTCTTCCCGAGTCATGTATTTAAGAATGAAGAGCATGGATCATAGGAAAGTGTTCTGGGCATGTTTTAAGACATTTAAAGGAGGTATTGCTGTAAGTTCTTACGCAAATAATTTTGAACTAGTTTTATACGTAGCATATAAAATGTGCCAAGGTCATATCATTCTATTCTGAATTTGGTTCTTACAGGATTCCATTATATATATATATATTTCTAATTCTGCTTTTACTTTTGTCAGTGAGATATTACTCTTAGAATATAATTTTTGTATGTAATTGGGAATACTTTAAAGAATTGCAAGAACTAGGAAATGTGTCAATCTGTTCAACTATGAAAAGGGGAGGAAGTGGAGTAAAGAATGATAGGTCATAGAAACACAGACTGTCCTGATTTGGAAGAGACTCACAGGGATCAACAAGTCCAATTCTGAGCTCCACCCAACAATCAAATAGTGTTTCTAAGAGCTGTGTCCAAATGCTCCATCGACTCTGACACCTGGGGCCGTGCCCAGCGCCCTGGGCAGCCTGTTCCATGCCTGCTGCCCTCTGCTGAAGAACCATTTCCTGACACCCAAACTAACCCCCCAAGCCAACACAATGTCACAGCTTTCCTTTGGGCCCTGTCACTGTCAGCAGAGATAGATGATGTACCTGTAACATGGGCAAGCTTGGGTAATGTGGCTATGAAATGGTTCACTGACTAGAAAACAAATCTAAACAGTTTGTGCTGCTTAGCTGTAGTACACAATACCACCCTCATAATTGAAAGAATGTGAGATTATCACTCAGTTTAGTGTATCTTAGTTTATCACTTGTAGATTTCAGTAGGGTAAAAATGTTATCAAAGATTGTATTATATAGTGTATATGCTGTTTTTAGATATTTTTAAAGTAAAATCAAGTGCTTTCTAGAAAAAGATGCACTAATTCAAATGGTAGTTTTGTTCTGGAGCTGATTATATGCTTTTGGGGGAGATGAAGAGCGAGAGGTGAGTTTTCTTCCATATAGAAGGCAGAATGAACCCAAGAAAAGCAAAGCTGAAAAGTTGCTCATTGTATGCTAGACATTAGGAAAGACATGGAAGTAGGAAAGGGGCCTGTGGGAGTGTGTGACTGTGTTATGGCCAGCATTGTACACGTAATCAAACTGCATTTCGATTCTTTGAAATTGTGAGGGGTTATTTCTTTCTCTGTAGAAAAAGTCTCTTTTTGACTGAAGGAGTTAAACTGCCATGCAGTTTTTGAAGAGACTTTAAAAATGAAACTGCAAGTTAAATTTGTGGTTGTCACCTCCTTAGTATTTGCAGGGTGTTGAAGTGCTTAAATGAATTTTTTTTTTTTTTTTTTAAACAAGTTAACTCTTATGTTTTTCCAAATCAGTTGGTTGGTGGGAAGACGATTACTCTGACAAGAAATTTAAGTCTGTATTCTGTTGTAGATCAAGAAGACATCAGGCTGTTATCCAGTTGTCATAGTTGGATCGCATTCTACAAGTCTTCAAGACTTCCAGTGGTGTTAAAGGTAACTTGTGACTTTTGTTGTCTTTATTTTTAATACCGGAAAATTATCTGAGTAAAAACATTCTGAATAACAGCAGTTCTGTGGGCTGTTTAAACTTCTTATGAACTTGTTTGCTTTTAATGTGTAAAACTTAAACTGTTGAATGTGGCAGTTCTGTAATATTTCACAGAAAGCAGCATATTAACAGTACAGTGAGTATTTTTCCTTCTAGCAAATATTGATTTCTGAATTACAGTGTTTGTGTTATGAACTGTGTGAAAGTAACTCTGCTAGCAACTGATTTCCATATTAATGCTCACTATGTGTTTGAGTATGTTGTAAAGATTTACAGGATGTGTGAAAGTCTTATCAACAGAACATAGATTACTAACTACAGAGTAGTCAAAAAATAGCCATTCTGTTCTGTGCTTTGTGTTTGTTTGTGGTTTTTTTTTTTTTTTTTTTTTTTGTCCCCTAGTTTTGGAGCAGTGCTGGGTCTGGATGTTATCAGAGCACATCACTTGATTGTAGGGAGCCTTTGAGGTTGTCTGAGAAGTTCAGAACCCTCTGCTCTGCACATCACAGTTTTCTTTGGGGGTCGGTAACAGATGATACCTGGACTCAATTATATGAGATGCTATGAAGGCCTGACTTATTAAGTTGGCCTCTTGAGTAAATACTGATTGGCTGTCTCTTAATATTCTCCAAAGCAGGTAAATGTTGTTGTTTTTTTTTTTTTTTTTTTTTAATTTTGGTTTCTTAGCTCTCTTTTTAATAGAGGTAAGATACTGCTGTTCGTTAACAGTAGCCTGGCTCTTCAGAGATCTTGTAAAGGAGCATTGCAGGAGTATTTCAGTAAAACTAGAGACTGTCAGTGTCTGTGTGTTTTACTTGATATAATAGCTACAGTGGCGCTCATTCTTCTGCGTTTTTGTTTCTTCCCAGAATTTTTTTTCTTTCTGAAGAGTGGTGTGATATAACTTGACTTTAATTTACCTAATTGTTATGAAGCGATGTAGCCTGTGTGCTCTGTAAGGTCACTGTTAGACTTTGGTGTTGAGTAGTAAAGTAGGGCTAGCTAAGGACAGTTTAAAAGCAACTATGAATTGCCTTGCTGCTCTAGATTTGAATCTTCCATTTTGCTTCTGACATTGTCTCTGTGGTTTTCTGTTTGCAAAGCACTATTTCTAGAGAAATGTTCTATAGGAGAAGACTTTCAGTTACCAGAAAATAAAAATAGTCTCTAAAAGAGGAGTTTGGATTCTCTGGGTGATCAATTTCAGCTAAATTACTTGCACTGATGACAAAGCAGAGTGTAACCAAATATTTATTGTTGAAATTACCCTGTGATTAGTAGTGTTATACAGCTAAATGTAACACCAAATTTTACTGGAAATCATGGCTATGCCATGACTGTGGCTTGAGAAGTACAGAGTATAAATGTGGTATTCTTTTTAGTGGGCTGGATAAGAATTTGACTACAACATTTTAAAAACATAGTTTTTGTATTCTTAATAACATTCTTTAGTGCATATTTAAAATCTATGATGTGATCTCTTACCACAATGGAAAACTACAACAGCTTTTTCCAATTTGAAATGCTCTGTTATCCTGTCTATGGGATTTTAAAATAGATATTCTTGCAAGCTTCTGAATTGGATAATTGGGGGACCTTTACTCTGACTCTTGACTCAGTATGTGTCCTACTTCTGAAAACGAAAACAACTAAGATCTGAGGATAAAAATAAGCACTTGTTTCACATTTGTTCAAAAGCTTATTACTTTCAGTTACTCACAAGAGCAAGCATTCACTGACAGAATATTTTAGAATACATGAAGTTTTTCTCACAAATACGAAAAACACAGCAAACTCATTTCAGAATGAAACTTTCAGTTTTAAGATCTGAAATGTCATGTTCAATTTTCAAATAGTGTTTTCTACTTTTTAAACACTGCTTGGAAATTAGCTATTTGCTTCCTTTGAGAAATGACTTTTCTGCCCTTTTATCCTCTGCTTAACTTCCTTTTGAAGCTTTACTTAATACTGTAATTGCTGCTATTCTGTTGTCTTTCAGTTAAAAATGGCAAAATATTAAGCCTGAGTATCATTTATCTTCTCTTAGAGGACTGGATACATTTTTGTATGGTGTTTTGGGTCTTTTTCCTGGTAGTATGTTGCATTATTAGGCCATGAATCTGAAGCAAATCCCACTTCAGAAGAGGGAGCGGGGCTGAAACCACAAGGAATGTCCACACAAGCTTTATGGTCAAGTTATGATTTGGTCTTAAGGCTGCTTTGTCCACTTTATAGTCAATGCTGCTGTATTGCAGCAGTCTTTGACAAGAGGTTAGCTACATAATGGTCCAAGGCAGCTGCTTGGGTCAAGCTTGAGGTTCCTACAAATCAATACTACTATTTCATCCACTTCTTTCCAAAAAAAAAAAATCAAAACCAAAACAAACAAACAAAAAAAGCCAGAAACAAAACAGAAGGGCAAGTTGCAAGTGATTTTAGTATTAAACCTTTTGTGGACCTCTAATCTCTCATGCTGATTAACTTAAGATGTTGGAAGTTTAGACTTGCTTTCAGAGAATACTTTCTTCTTTGTGTTGGGGAGGATGTGTTTTATAGAATGCAGTTATCATTTGTGGAGGTGGTTAAGAGCTGTGCACTGACAGATCTTTCTTTTTCTCCTATCCTCTTCCCACAACCTCCCCTCTGCACCTAAGTATGCTGTTTGTGCAGCGTATGACAAGATTGTAACTCTTTGCAAATGTTGCCAAGCATTGACATATTTTCAATTTGAAAGGGGAAAACACGTGTCAATCTTTATTTCATGATTCCATACTATAGAAAAGATAAAACATCTAGCCATGCTAAAAGATTACTTTTTTCAGTCATGGTTGAATTTAGTTGTCATTCCAGAAAGAAAGAAGTTAAGTTTCTTGGAATAACTGCAGAATAATGACCTGCAACATCACAAGATGGCTAGAGTTGGAAGGGACCACAAGGATCATGAATCTCCAACCCCCCTGCCACAGGCAGGGCCACCAACCTCCCCATTTCATACTAGACCAGGCTGCCCAGGGCCCCATCCAATCTGGCCTTGAGCACCTGCCGGGACGGGGCATCCACAACCCCTCTGCACAGCCTGTTCCAGCACCTCACCACTCTCTCTGTAAAGAACTTCCCCCTGACATCCAACCTAAATCTTCCCTCCCTCAACTTAAAACCATTTCCCCTTGTCCTGACCTGACATAGACTGAATGCTCCATGGAAAACATGTGGAGGTTGCAAAAGCTTACATTAACAGCATTTTGTTCTTGTACTGTAGTAGAAATGACACTACAGAAGTGAATTTGAAAGTACTTCAGTGTTGTGTTGAAAATGAGAAAACACTTGTGGAAAAAAAGGTGCATTCTCTATTATTAAAAAAAAAAAGAGAGAGCTCTGAAGAAGGGCTTATATAGTACCAGAAGGGATTTATTCTTGAAAATGTAATACAAATAGAAAATGAAATCTAACTATGAAACAGTGTAGTTTCAATGTTTTGACTTGGAGAGAGCATTAATGTGATGTATCAAGTTTTAAGAATTGATGTGTAACAGGTAACTTGATACTGCATCTTCTTGAATTGTAAGACCTGATTGGGCTAAGGCCAGAACTTATTTAGCACTGCACGTGCATACTTGTTTTAGCAAGTTAACTATGAGATGTGTAACTGTGCATCCTACTTTCATCCTTTGACCACAGTAAGCTCAGTAATTCTGACAGAAATGTTCAGTCTCAGCTAGAGGCCGGGTATTAAACATCAGACAAGTCTTTCTGAGGAAAAAGCTTATATACAAAGGATGATGCCAGAGGCTGCTTTAGTTCTGGTCTCCATATGTATCGTGACTTTCCACTGCTTGTATTTTAGAATGCCTAACGAAGCTCTAGTGGAAAATAAACGTATATTAGCTGAAGTGTATCTTGTGGTGCTGACTTGTGGAAATCTTAAGTGATTTGATTACTGAGACATTGTGAGACTTTGAGTATTGTGCTGAGAATGAAAAGTGTTTTCACTTATTGCCAGTGAATGTGTTTTTGTTTTTTGAAAGGCTATGTGAAAAACAAAACGTGCCTGATGTGTTGGCAGCAGAGCCACTTTTTGTCAGCTTCTTTGCATCTTTCAGACCTCTTGTTCAGTTTTCTCTAGTTTTCAGGGTTTCTTTCCATTATCGAGCAATCCCTGCTATGAAGATAGCTGGTATGCTGTAGAATTCACCATCTGTTGGTGCTGTTTACAGCATGTCTTAGATAATAGGCAGGATGTAACTTATGCAGCATCAAAAATTAGGAATGGGACCAGGTGGAAGTAGATGTTTGCTGAACTACTTAGTCTCTGAGCCCTAATTATCTCACTTGAAACACCAATGTCTATATAAACTGTTGAGTGAGTGAGAAGATTAATTTCCCTAGCAAAAGTTTACTTTAAAATTAAGACTAATATGTTGTCCTTTAAGATATTAAGTTATTGAAATTGAAATCAATCTGCTTTCTTTTACTTCTGAAGCATCTTTGCTTGCAGAGGAAAATGCACGAATCCTTTCTGTTGAAAAGTTCACAAGGATGTTCTTGTTTGACTGCTTTTAAAAAGGAGTCAGGTTTTTGAGTTTGAGTTTCTTGAGTTTCTTGTTAAGTATTTGATGACTCCATTTATTTAGTTATCTTAAAGATACTTTTCTATAAGTGTTAGTTTTCAAATTCTAAATGGGTTTTTATTTGTACAGCTCCCAAGGTTAACAGCAGCAGAGGATGCTGGCCAAAAGGATCAGTATATAAGCTGATTTTTTCTGTGCAGGACACTTAAAAAAAGGTGTATTCTGACCTTTGGTTATGTCAAGAAGGTAAAAGCATGGGCACTTCTGAAAGAATGCTCCTTTCCTCTGGTGGTTTTCACTTTTTTTCTTGACTGAAGCTTTGTTTCAGGTAACTCTGTCAATGTGACTGTAGATGTCTTTGTTTAAAAAAAAAAAAA